CCTGGCCGGTTGGTTAGTCGCGCGCTCCCTCCTCCCCGCCCGGCAGCCTGAAGAGGCGGCGGCAGGAGCGAAGGCAGGCAGGCAGGAGAGGGCCGCCCCTTGCCTCCGAGAGCGCTTTCTACTCCCCCCCATCCCCGCCCGGCAGCCTGAAAAGTCGGAGGTGGGAGCAGGGAGGACGGGCCGGCTGGCAGGCAGGCAGGCAGGACAGCGCCGCTGCCCCCGGTCGGTCGCCTGCCTCCAAGCATGCTCCCACTCCCCCCCTCCCCGCCCGGCGCCCAGCGCCCAGCAGCCTGAAGAGGCGGAGGCTAGCTGGCGGGCAGCCGCAGGGGAGGAACAGGAGAGCCTGCAGGAGAAGGAGGGAGGCGGTGATCGCCCGGTTAGGGCGGCGGCAGCGGGGCTTGGGGGGGCGGGGCGCAGTTTGGCGCCCCTGAGGGCCGGCGCGCTCTAGGCGAGCCCCTAGCTCGCCTAGCGGGCGAGCCGGCCATGCCTGCCATCTAAATTTTTATAAACTGGTTGAATGAGGACAAATTTATAACCTCTATGTGTTAAGTCTGAGGGTTCAGCCAATGAGTTCTGAGGGAGACATAATATTGGGTTAGCTGTTCATTATAAATGCAAGTTGCCTATCTTGAGGCTCTATGCTGCATGTTGTATTTGATCTTTTATGCCAATAAAGGTATTGTATTTGTATTTGTGAATGCAAGTTTCTTACTTGTTTTACCTACCACTCCTTTTTTTACCATGGTCCTGGTCCCAAGCAGGGCACCACACATGTGAAAGTATGATTTTAAACCATCACTGAAACACAAAATTCCCAGGAACCATCTGATTTGACCCTGAATTAAAGGAGAGACAACTGATGCCCTGAAGCCAGTTTATTTACTTCATTATAGTCTTCCTTTCTGGATGATATACAAGGCAGTTTGCTCGTCTTACAACTTCTGGGTTGTAATGACGAGTGGCATTGAGTTTTCTTTCTTTCTTTTCATCACTGTATGTATTTTACTACGTTTCTTAAGCAGCATGTTAAAACAAGTCTTGAATGGTAGTCACAATTCAGAAACTAACCAAATCCAAGACATGAAGAGCACAGCAGAACACATGAGGAAATACCCGTATTTTTCGGACCATAAGACGCACCTGACCTTAAGACGCACCTAGTTTTTAAAGGAGGAAAACAGGGGGAAAAATATTCTGAACCTTCGGTCCATAAGACGCACTCACTTTTCCTCCCACTTTTTTTGGAAGAAAAAGTGAGTCTTATGGTCCAAAAAATACGGTAGTTACTCTTCTGATTGCTGTTAAGCCAAAAAAAAAAAAAAAAGCTCAGATATAGGATACAGCCATAGGACAGACATTCTAAGGGCATACAATGTATGCACAGTTCCGGGTAGGGTTGCACCAGCAATGCACACATAGGGCCTGTGCAGGTAAAACTCTTTCCATGCGATTGGGAACACTTCTCTTTCATTGGAGGTTGATGTTCAGATAGTTTTTGTAAATCACTTAAAGATTGAATTCTCTCTGGTTCTGTTTGCTCTTCCTACTACCGCATTAAAAACATCGTAAGAATTAGTATCTTGAGTGCCAGTCTGATGTAGTGGTTAGGAGCGTGGACTCAAGTCTGGGAGAACTGGGTTTGATTCCCCCACTGCTCCACATGCAGCTGCTGGTGTGACCTTGGGCCAGTCACAGTTCTCTCAGAGCTGTCTCAGTCCCACCTACCTCACAAGGTGTCTGTTGTGGGGAGGGGAAGGGAAAGGAGATTGTAATCCACTCTGAGACTCCTTTGGATGGTGAAGGGTGGGGTATAAATCCAATCTCCTCCTCCTCCTCCTCTTCTTCCACAATCATATCACTATGAACAAATAATCATGTATACTGTTGGAGAATGGCATGCATAACAGATTTATTCACTTCAGTTATTCCTGACATCTCTCCCCAGTGGGGACTCAGAGTGGCTCACATAATTCTCTTCTCCATTTTACCTTCTCAACAACCTCGTGAGGTATGTTAAGCTGAGAGTCCGTGACTGGCCCAAGGTCACCCAGCTAGCTCCAGACTTTCTACCAGTGCTTTCAGGGTGGAAAAACTGTACCAATGCCCATGGTTTCTTCCGGGCCACTGACCTGCTTGCAGGGCCACGGTCCCTTCCGTGCACAGAGCACAATCATAGCAGCAAACAAGCCGTCCTTCTGGCACCACCTTGCTTCTTCCAGGCTTGCAACTTTCAGAGCATGTTGAGCGGGGCCTTGTCTGGGGAACAGAATCATAACACAAGAATGTAGGAAGAGCCCTGCTGGGTCAGACCAGTGGTCCCCATTTGGCACATGTGTCTGTAAACATAAATTTTGATATACCAGAGAACAACCCACAAGAATTATTCACAGTGAAAGGAAATCCCATTCTCTCCTCTGCTTCCCCTTCTCAGAGCGACTGTGGCTCAGTGTGCGGGGGCATGGGTGGCACCGTCACCGAACAGCATGACATTTCCAGGGTGAACCTGGAAGTTATGTTACGCCTGTCTAGGACTCAGTAAAAACTCTATGATAAAACTGTTGTGTCAGAAAGGGGAGGCCAGAGAGCCCCTCCTGCCGCTCCCTCCTGTGGTCGAGGGAACCTGGGAACCCCCCCTGGAGAGAATACATCCAGAGGAAGCAACCCATACCAATGGGGGATGTGCAGGGCAGGCCTGACCTCAACTGCGAGGGCCAGGGGCTACAGGGTTCCAACCTTTTGATGCAAGGAGGAGGCAGGAGGAAGCCCAGGGGGTTATCCTGCAGGTCCCGGACTCCTGCCCTGCTGACCAGCCGGGTTCTCCGGCTGCCAAAGGAGGTCACATGGGAGGTTGCAGCCAACATCCCCAGCAATGCCGGCCCAACCAGAAGGAACAAGGTTGGAAGCATACAGATGGGGGCGGGGAACTGGCCAATCCGATGGCCGCTCTCCTCTGAAGAGCAAGAGGGAGGGGCAGGAAGATTTAAGACAAGGGATCCTCCTCCGCTGCTATGACGAACAAGAAACGGTGAGCTGAGAGGGAGGAAAAGCCAGATAGAGAACAGTCACTGACCCTTGTGTATAGGAGCGAGGAGAAGTGGGGGTGGGGTGGGGTGGAGAGGTGAAGTAACCTCCCCGGAGCTTCTATCTAAAGCTGTGCTCTGTTTTCTCAGGAGAATCTGATGCCCTGAAGCCTGCCCGTCTCTGAAGCTCTCCCCAAGGACTCTCCAGCCATGACATGTAGAGTTTCTGCTGAATCCTTGAGTGGCATGATGTCACTTCCAGGTTTGCCCCGAAAATATCATCATGCCGTTGAACAATGATGATTTGTTTCCCTGCATCTTCCCCCCAGCAGCCTACCAAGCAGAGGTGGGGGTTGGGGGGTTGGTGGCAACAGGCCTCCTGCTACAGTAGGTGACCTGGCAACCCTACTCCCCTCACTTTGCTGGCTCTCCTTCACCCCTCCTCCCCCAAACTGCTTCTCCCAGCTCTTCCTCCCCCCCACACACACACATACAGCTGCCACAGTTTTGGGTTTCCCTCCCTCCTCTCTTCATCCTTGCTTCATTCCCACACACACTTGCTTCCTTCAATTGTCAGGCCCTCTTTGGGGTTAATACAGTAGCCACCTGAAGTTATTGTTACTGATTTTTAAAAAAAATTTAAACCTATCATCTTCTTTTTGCCTTTACAAATATTTCTGCTGCTTTTACCTTAGTCTCTGTATATATAAATAAAAATAAATTAATTAATAATAATAAATGTATACCCCAAAACTTGTCAATTTTTTGATCAGCACAGGGAGGGGCCATCTTGGGTCTTAAATATATGAGATATCTATCCCACTCATAGCCTGCCATTTGGAATCATCTTCTCACGCCAGATCAAACATTCCTCTGTATCTGGGCTTTTTAAGCAAGGGGTACTTTATGGGTGTTTTATGGTCTACTCTTATCCTGAGGCCTAGCCTGTTACCATCCCTTTTTATTGCTGTTTTAATTGGCTTACCTTGTTTTTATTAGCGTGTTTTTATTGGCATATTTGATTAATATAGCAGAGTTTTCCCAGTCATAAAGCATGATACTTAGTGTAGTATGAATGAATGAATGAATGAATGAATGAATGAATGAATGAACGAACGAACGAACGAACGAACGAATGAATGAAGCATTTCATAGAATCATAGAGTTGGAAGGGGCCATACAGACCATCTAGTCCAACCCCCTGCCCAATGCAGGACCAGCCTAAGGTATCTCTGAGAAATATTCATCCAGCCTCTTCTTGAAAGCTGCCAGTGAAGAGGAACTAACCACCTCCCGAGGCAGCTGATTCCGAAAACATTTTTCCTAATATCCAACCGATACCTTTCTGCATGTCATTTAAACCCATTGCTTTGGGTGCTATCCTCTGCTGCCAACTGGAACAACTCCTTGCCCTCCTCCAAATGACATCTTTCACACACAAACAATTCCTTTAATGGCATTTTCACAAAGGTAAAAATATAACATCTGAAAAATAAAATTCAGGTTCTGCATAAAATACAATTCCATTAAAAAATTACCCTACGTTGTGCACCTGCAAAATTTTACTACGTGTCAAGGCAGCAGCTATTAAAAACTTTGCCACAAGTTCAGTTATGTTTTCCTCAGTGCTATTTAACAGAAGTGTTAGTTTGTTCAGCCTGGAACAATCTGACACACTACCCAAAATTGGTGATAAAATTCGTTGCCTAATACCAGCGTAATAGCAGCATTCAAACAGCACACGGTACACTGTTTCAATAGTTTCACATCTGCAAGGGCTGTTGTCTGTTGGCAAAGGGAATGCCCTGGAATCTTCCAAATAAAATTGCTGAGGATAAAACATTACGCTTCGCCAGTGTAAAAATTCTGCACAATTTTGGAGATTGCAGTTGAAAGAAATAGCTGTGCAAGCATCCTACTATGGGAAATATCCCGTGGTTCAGAGGAGAACAAGTGTTATTGGCTGCATTATACAAGTACCACAACTCTGCTTCCAGTAATCTGGTCCTTATTTTGTGGAACACCTCCTTTTCAGAGAGCATCAGCATAGATTCAAGAGAGATATTCAAGGATCTCAGTTTTTTTTTATAGTGGAAAACCAGGGTGAACCCTCAGTCTCAGTTAACATCTGGTAACTATAGCTGGTGGGATCAGAGTTATAGTACAATTGGGCCCAATATTTGAAGGTCATAACTATTGTAGACATAAGGCTTTGACCACATTCCAGATAGAGGGCTTCGTATGGGGCACAAGGTGGGACACACCTAGTATCTTTCTTTAAAAGCTCGTATGCACCTGTTCAATTGACTTATTAACTGCCTCGATCCACACAGGGGCTCCATAAAGTAGTTGGGGCTCTATTTTTAAATTGAATACTTTTGACACAGATGGCACAAATTGGTTCCCTCCCTCTGAAAAGTACAATCGTAGGAGGGCATTAACATTTGCCTTAAGGTTGTTAATTGCTGTCCTGCGCTGAAGAGTCCAAGTTGTGGTGGGATGAAGATAAAGCCCTAGATACTTGAAGTATCTTACTTGCTCGAGCTTATGGTCACCAATCCTCCATATGCATTGCTTCCTGGATTTTGCAAAAACTAAGATTTTTTATTTCTCATAGTTTAGTTCTAATTGGTTGGTCTTACAATAGACCTGGCAGCTATTTAGAAGTCAGAGTAGACCCACACGAGTACAAGAAAGCAGGACCGTGTCATCTGCATATAACAGGATTGGTATATGGGCAGAGCCTAGTTTTGGACAATGTCCATCCATTTGATTTAAGAACAGAGCTAAATCTCTCAAGAAGAAATTAAAAAGGAGGGGCACAAGCGCACATTCTTGCTTGACTCCTTTATTGGTAGAGATCTTGGGTGTCAATCTACCACCAAATGACATCCTTTCAAATATTTAAAGAGAGCAATCATGTCCCCCCTCAATCTCCTCTTCATAAGAACATAAGAGATGCCAATGTTGGATCAGGCGAAAGGCCCATCCAGTCCAACACTCTGTATCACACAGTGGCCAGAAATACCAGGTGCCATCAGGAGGCCCACCAGTGGGGCCAAGACATTAGAAGCCCTCCCACTGTTGACCCCCCGCCCCAAGCACCAAGATGACAAAGGATCACTTGCCCCAGAGTCCCTATCTATACCTTGTGGCTAATAGCCACTGATGGACCTCTGCTCCATATGCTTATACTAATACCCAAGTTGCCCCCTCCGTGCGGATATCTATATCTGCACTTTGGGGGCACTTGGGGGGCAGGGGGAGGTTTGTGCACATGTGGGGCAGTCCCCAAATGTGCACAAAAATAAAAAAAGTTAAAAAAAATTCGGGGGGATGTTTAAATCCCCCCGAAAGTGCAAGAGCGTCTCCTGCGCGTGCGCAGGAGATGCTCTGCGAACGCTGAAGGGCGGGGAGGTAGGTAGGGCGGGCCGGCCGGTGGGGAGGAGAGGCCTCGCCGCCGCCTCCTCCTCCACGGAGCCGGCAGGCCGGCCGGGTGGGTGGGTAGGAAGGGTGGGCGGGGAAGAGAGGCCTAGCCGCCGCCGCCTCCTCCTCCCCGGAGCCGGCAGGCCGGCCGGGTGGATGGGTAGGAAGGGCGGGCGGGCGGAAAAGAGAGGCCTCGCCGCCGCCGCCTCCTCCCCCTCCCCGGAGCCGGCAGGCAGGGCGGGGGGGCGGGCAGGGGGGGAGACCGGCCTCAGGGGGGGCGAACACCGGCCTCGCCACTGACGCTGCCCCTGCCACCTCGGGGAGATGGGGGGGGTGGAGGAGACGGGGCTCTTCTCTCCCCCCCTCCCACGAGTATCGCGGGTCCCCCTCTTGTGCTTATCTAATTCCCTTTTGAAGCCGTCCATGCTTCTAGCCGCCACCACTACCTGTGGCAGTGAATCCCAAGTGTTAATCACTCTTTGGGTGAAGAAGTACTTCCTTTTATCCGTTCTAACCCGACCGCTCAGCAATCTTTTTTTTTTTGGCCCCCCAAAGTGGAATTTTTTTTTTGCATTTTTTACACACTACAGTTACTGGATGGGGGAAGGGATACTAACACCCTAATACTATTACTATGGGTGATGGGTATAGGAAATCTAATACATAAATCTACTAGATAGGGGAAGGAATACTACAATTCTAATCTATTTCATCTACTGGGTTTGGGGAGAGGGTAAAGACTAATACATGTCACGATCTGAATAGTTTAAATAATATTGTTTTTAAACCTAATATAACACGTTATATCAAGATTTGGTTTCATTATTATAATACATATTTAGTAGTTTAACACAATTACTGCCTTGGATGCTATTGCCTTAGTTCTAGACTCTTCTCTTCCTGCGTTTTTTTGTTTTCTGGAGTTTAGGGGTTGCCGCTCCTTTCTCCGATTCAGATGATTCTGATGGTGTGGAAGTTTGGCTTGTTGAATCCTGTGAGTAGAATTCATCTTCTTCTTCCTCCCCATCCAGTTTTAGATTCTTTTCCTTCTGCTTCTTTTTTGTATTGAACACTTGGTCCATGAATTTTTCCGCTTTTGGAACAGATTCAATTTTGTATTTTTTCCCCTGGAAATTGAAACTCAGCCCTTCCGGGAATAACCATCTATATGGTATTCCCTTTTTTTGCAGAGTGAGAGTAAGCATCCTGTAGAGTTTCCTCCGTTTTCTAACTTCAAAAGGGATCTCTTTCAAAAATTTTACTTCTTCATTCTTGATTTTTAGGGATTTTCCCATTGTTGATTTTAGCACCAGTTCTCTGGTAGATCATTTCGTGAATTTCAGATAGGTTTCCCCTCGTAATTTGTTTTTCTTTATAAAATCCAGATCAGTCCTATAGGCCACATCCATCTCATTTATTAAATCTTCTTGTTTGTAATACATTAATGGGGCCAAGGCAGCCTCCAAAAGTTCTTTTAAATCCTCGTTTTTCTCTTCGAGGATCCCATGGAAGCAAAGAACATACATGGATCTTTCCAGCTGGAGCTGTATTAGTTGTGTTTTATCCAAGGATCTTTCCTTCTCTGCTTCATCCACTCTTTTGTTAATACTCTCAGTCTGATTTTCCATCTTTTTCAACATTTTCTCAGTTGCTGAGGTTCTTTTATCCATTTGATTCAGCTGTTTTTGAACATTATCAAACTTAGTGTTGAGAGTCATCTGATCCATTAGGGGGCACAGTGCATTTGCTAGCAGTGAAGAGAAGTCTTTAGTTACTTCCTGGTTCTGGGAAGGAGTCGTTGGTATGTTATTTCCAGTCACCAGTTTTTTGTCCGGCGCTCTCCATCCTTTCCCAGCCATAATATTAATAAGAAGTAAGTTTTCCAAAACAAGGCAAAAGTTGTACAATTTAGTCCCACTTTGTATACGTTAGCAGTTTTTGCATTCGCTGAGCTGCTTATGCGCTTGTTTTAGCTCAAAGTCTTTTTATTTCTGATTTAAAACCATTAAGTTTACTCAAAAAGGGGTGTGTGTGCTTGAATTCTTCTCCCCTACACTTCAAACTTAGGCACTTCCAATTACTACCAAGGTTTGGTTCGCTTTTTTAGACCTGAGCTTTGCTTAACTCACGGTTTGGAGCCTTGGAGATCTTTTGGAAGCATTTTTAGAAGTTTGATCATGATTGCTTGCTCCGGCAGTTGTTTCTGGGTGCCATGCTGGCTCCGCGGCGACGGTACCTTTCGGGGAAGAAGGTGAGCCTCAATTCCTTGGCTGTCGCCTTGGAAGAGGCTCTCCTCAGCTCCCCAGGCTGAGGGTCTCCTACAGAGACCCTGGGGGGGGTGCAGGATGAACTCGGACTCCTCCCGTCAGCCAGGTCTTGGCTCGTCTCCATCAGAGTGAGACGGGACGCATCTGAGTGGCGAAATGCTTAAACCGGAAGTCGTTTTGGCAATCTTTGATGGTATTTTCTACTAGTGGAATTTGTATATTTGGGACTTCTGTGACACTATTCTTTTCCCCTTGTTGTTTGGATTTACCTATAGTTTATATGGCTTGTACAATACAATACAAATTGATCTCCCACCTGGTTAAACCAGCTGGGCCATACGCAGGCCTCTTCACGAATGGTCAGCTCTAAGCCAGAAGAAGCTTGGGTCTCCAGCCTCCCCACTTTCATTCTCCTGGCCGTCTGGTTGGAGGATGTGACCAAGTTCACAATGTCATAGTTAGCTACCAGTTCCCCGTCCTCATTGAAACGCACCTCATCCGTGGTTGTACTGTTAAAGAGGACGCCTCTTAGAAAAGGATGAAGCTATCAAAGAGACAAAAGGCCCCAATTCAATTTCTCTGACAGACTCTGATGCAGTCCTTGGTCTGGATCCCACAGGTCTGTTATGCAAGCAAGGGCCAGTTTGGTATAGTGCTTAAGTGTGCGGACTCTAATCTGGGAGAACCAGGTTTCATTCCCCACTCCTCCACTTGCAGCTGCTGGATGACCTTGGGCAAGCCATAGTTCTGTCAAAGCTGTCCTTGAAAAAGCAGTTCTCTCAGAGCTCTCTCAGCTCCACCTACCTCACAAGGTGTCTGTTGTGGGGAGGGGAAGGGAAAGGAGTTTGTAAGCCACTCTGAGACTCAGAGTGAAGGGCAGGGTATAAATCCAATCTCCCCCTCCTCCTCCTCCAAATGGTGGGATTTTCCTCCCGCACAGGGTTCCTTCCTTTGATGAAAGAGGGGGAAGTCTCCTTTGGACAGTGGAAAGTGGGATTCAACCCTTTGGTCCTAGAAGCTACTGCTGATGAAATACGACAGACAAGATGTATTGTTGTAAAAAAAAATGCAGAAAAATCAATGCCTCATAAACAATTCTACAACCCAGTATGCTTAGATATACCAGGAAAAAACCAGATTTGCAGGGGTCTCCAAGCTTTTTGAGCCTGTGGGCACCTTTGGAATTTGAAAGGGGGTGGTGAATGCCACCCCAAGATAGCAGCCACAGGAAATGGAGCCAAACTCAAAATGACTGCCACAGGAAATGGAGCCAGACTCAAAATGGCTGCCACAGGAAATGGAGCCAGACTCAAAATGGCTGCCACAGGAGTCGAAGCCAAACAGAATAACTCACTCTTCACACCACCAGGGAAGAAGAAAAACCTGGAGGAGTGGAACCACGGACTGACTAAGGAAAGCCCCGTTCTTACCAGACTCCTCATCCTCCAATGGAAACACTTTCATTTGAATGAAGGCAGCCACTAACAAGCCCTGCCTTACAATGGCCCCACCCATGTTCTCAAAAATTGCTACAGGTGTCTATGGAAGTAATGGTGGGTACAATGGTGTTCCTGGGTACCATGTTGGGGAACCCTGGTGTAGTGTTTTCATTGACCATTAAAACACTACTTGATGGAATTGTAGAAGATTATTGCTGGATTTCCAGATAAAACTTTGGGATTTTTCAGAAGTAAGCTGACAAATGGTTCACCACTAAGCAGAATTGTAGAAGCAGGTGTTCTTACATCAACTTTTTAATTAGAATGGTACCATTCAGCAATAATGATCTGTCATAATGGAGATTTATGATCAAACTCTCTGCTTCAAAGAGAACTAGGAATAATTGTTCAAGATGAGGCTAGAAAAGCCTAATTGGGGGAACAAAGGGGTAACTGTACTGTACTGTAAGAGAGAGGAAAACCCCTCTTCTGACTTGCTGTGTGTTTTTAGAAATTAAAATACAACTTCATATTTTGTTTATGGCTGAGAATGAAAGTTTATGGTATAAAATATTTCTGAAAGTTTATAAAAAAGAGAAAATTAGTTAAATTCTTAATTCTCTAATACGGAACTGTGCTTAAGACTAGCAAACTACTAACAAGCGGAAACTGGAAACGTCCAGACGTTTTAATTTAGACTAAAAAAACTATAACATTCAATAAAATAGGTGGGTTCAATATATCTACAAAAGCTTCATGTTATAGGCTATTCTGAAACATTAGAAAGTGCATATAATGAGTTTAATTTTTAAAAGAGTGCTATAATTTTGTATCTTCCATAATTCAATAATAGAAATAGTTCACAGAATGCTATTAAGAGTGCCTTTATACTTTTATATACATGTATCAAACCATTTTTGTAACAAACCCAATAGATTTGTACTAAGAATGAACTCAGCCTGAAAAGTTCATTCGAAGGTGAATCAAGTCTGGGAGAATGGCCAAGATGTATTCATCATTTTTAATGAGATGAACACCTGTATTGTAAGGCTGAAACCCAGCCAGGTAGCCTATTGCTTGTCAAACACTTGATAAATGATTGTTCAAACAAAGAGAACCAAACTGAGCATGTGCAAATGATGTCAACAATGATGTAAAGTTCGGAGGAGCAAGAAAACCATATAAGCAAGATCCCTGCTGTTACTCACTGGACAGCTGAGCTGAATTTTTGGCTGTATGTGTCCCTTATTCGAATAAAACTTTTAGCCAACCCTTTACTGCCTGGAATTGTCTGTCTCACTGTGGGGTGTATTGGCTAGCCACACAAGTCAAAGAACCTTAGCTCCCTCAGGGAGTTGCCTTCAGAATTATCTCTAAGGAACTAAAATAAGTCAGTTTACAAAGTGGATATATTTACCAGATGGAGAAAAAGAACATGAGATACAACAAGAGAACTCTTCCGGTTTTTGGCAACTTGCAGGCGGGTGTACTCCATCCCAGCTCTGATGTGAGCAGCCCGCAAATGTGCCGATGGGGAAGGGTCCGAGTTTACAAAGTGGATATATTTACCCGATGGAGAACTAGAACATGAGATACAATAAGAGAACTCTTCCATGGATGAAGAATTTGAGGGTTTTTTTTTAAAGCACCTCATTATTTAATTGCTTTGTTTTTATAAGATTACCCTTCTTTTATAGACTTGGCATCAGCTAAGGCAGATGCCCGCTGTGGAAACAAGCTTTGTAGTTTTTGCTTTCTTTATGTATTTTGTCATTGTCAACTGATTTAGTTTTAAACCCAGTGAGCTGCTTTTCAAAGGCAGCCCCACATAAAGCACGTTACAACAATCCAAACCTAGTTTTGAACCATCCTGACTGAGAGCCTAATGCAAAAGAATTAGTGCCTGAAATAAAACAATCACTGCTTGTTTCAGCTACAGTTTCCATGGATTCCCCTTCTCTTACCTGCCATGGCTCTATATGCTGCAGGTCCGGTCTCTCTCCTTTAACCTTTACCCTGCGTTTAGATGTGGACGTGACCATAGCATGGAAGGCATGTGCCACAACATAGACAGAGTTGTAAATAGTATCGCTCTCAGCAGATACGTCCTCAGGCCAAGCTGGGGGGAAGCCATCCAACCTTTCCTTCTGCTTGCATCTCCTCCAGGTCTTCCTTGACCAAGTAAGGCTGGGAGTGAAGCAATCAAATATGCCTGACCAAAAATGCTCCATTAGAGTGTTATCTTGAATCAAAAAAAGATCCTGGGATACGGACTTCTTGTCGGCTTGGACTGTAAAGGACAAAGCTCCATGGAACCATTTGATATCCCAATAGGCAAAAGACATGCTTAAAGTGAAGCCCCACAGAGCTGTTGTGACCCAAACTTTCCCTATGGCAATGCCCATTTGTTCTTCCATTTGCATTAGCAAGAGTGGCAGCACAAGCATCGAATCAGCATCCCCATAATAAATTAGCACATTGGCTCTCCTCTGTGTAACGTGTGCAAAGAAGAGGAGCAAGCGTTTTTGGAACACCTCAGAACTATAGTCTGAATGCAGTTTTGGAATCCTCTCAGTGAAGGCTATGCAAATATCACTCTCAGAGAAGAGCATCTTCATGGTTCTCACAAATCTATCACCTCCATCATCACAGGGAGAAATGAGGCCGACCCAAATCCATCTGAAATGGAGGAGCAACTTGACTATCCCCGTATATTGCGGGGCTTCGTTGGGGCTCATCCAGTAGGAAGAAGGGAATTGGATTTTATCATTTATAATATGGTTGACAAAACCATACGTGAGCTAGTTAAAAAGAGGAACTGACATTTAGTGCTGGAAATAATGTTCAGGCATTGAAAGTTATATATTTTTTTAAATTATTTATTTATACCCTGCCTTTCTGTGCAGTGGGAACCCAGCGTGGCTTTCCTCAGTCTCCTCTCCCCCATTTTATCCTCACAATAGCAACCCTGTGAGAGGAGAGGGGCCGTGGCTGAGTGATAGAACATCTGCTCTGCAGGCAGAAGATCCCAGGTTCAATCCCCGGCATCGCCCGCTGAAAGGACCAGGTTATGTGAAAGACCTCCACCTGAGATCCTGACTGACAATACTGACTTTGATGGACTAAGGCTCTGATCCAGTATAAGGCAGTATATAACTTGATCAGGGGTCATTTCCTGCAGGAGGGTGCAGGAGCAGAGTTCCGGCAGTAAAGAGCCCAGGGGGCGGGCACATGCAACAAGCCCCACCCCCTGCTCCCAGCAGCCCTCAGTCAGAGCAAGAAGCAGCCAGGTAAGCTGCAGAGCCCCCCCTGCCCCCCTAGCCCAAAACAGTCAGTGGCACCTTTAAGACCAAGTTTTATTCAGGTACAAGCTCTCCCTCCTCTGCGAGGACAGATCTGCACGTTCCCCCCCCCCCCCAATAGCTAGCAATCCAAAACAGTCCAGTGGAGCCTGAGCGGTGGGTGTTGCCTTCTGACACACTTCCGGTGATGTCAGGGGGTGTGGCATATGCAAATAAATTATGCTAATAAGTTATGCTAATGAGCTCCTCCACCTCTTTTTCTACGAAATGACCCCTGGCAGCATCATGTGCTCATGTACACATGAGGTAGGCTAAGTGTGCGGACTCTAATCTGGGAGAACCGGGTTTGATTCCCCACTCCTCCACTCGCACCTGGCTGGATGACCTTGGGCAAGCCGTAGTTCTGATAAGAGATGTCCTTGAAAAAGAGCAGTTTCTGTCAGAGCTCTCTCAGCCCCACCCACCTCACAGGGTGTCTGTTGTGGGGAGGGGAAGGGGAAGGAGTTTGTAAGCTGCTCTGAGAATCCTTTGGGTAATGAATCTCTTCTTCTTCTTCTTCTTCTTCTTCTTCTCCTCAGAAAACCTTGTAGTTCGCCCTCTTAGGATTGTCCATACTGCATTGGCTAGGTCACAGGTGTTCTCTGCGATAGGTCATAGTCTGGAATGTCGAACCAGAGTGGAGGCACAGGGGGCACCTTCCATCACCTGCACTTAGGAGGGCATGCAAGACATTTCCAGAAACCAACTGGAGAAGGGTTAACTGTCTCAGTGGATTTAGCAGTATGTTTTTTAAATCTGTGCATTGTTTTTGCCTGTTAACAGGCTTCAGTGGTTTGTATTCTGCACAACTTATTATTGCTTTGTTAGCTAGTTTGAGTCCAAGGAAATAAGGTGGGACATAAATATTTTAAATAAACAAATGAGACATTCGTAAGTTTGCCAACCTCCAGATGGTAGCTGGAGATCTCTTAGGATTACAACTGATCCCCAGACGACAGAGACCAGCTCCCTTGAAGAAAATGGCCACTTTGGAAGGTGGACTGTGTGGAATTATACCCCACTGAATTCCCTCCCCTCCCCAAACCCCACCCTCTCCAGGCTCTACCCCCAAACTCTCCAGGTGTTTCCCAACCCGGAGTTGGCAACTCTATCCATAACATTGCAAGGGCACCTTGGGATAAACACCGTTGTCTTTCTGGTTTCCTTTAAGGAAAAACAGCTCATCCGTGGCATGGAACTCAACAGGAGTGGCTTTTCAAGTGGCTTTAGGGAGTTGGTTGGGGAGAGAAGCCAATAAAAATAGCCTCTCCCTATATACTCCATTTGAAGAAGCACTGCAGCAAGCACATTACATATAACTTAGTTAGGACATAAAATAGTACTCTTTTGTATATATTTACAAAGTCTGAACCTTTCCATTCTATTTTTTTAATTTGCTCAATGAAAACATTTATATCCAGTATTTGGAAGGCAGGCTACTACACTCAAAGGTATTTTCTTTCTGCTCACTGGCGAGTAGGAGAAAATAAAATAACAATTGAAATTAGCAACTAACAAGTCTGTGATAAAAATGAGGATGTAACAGCAACAATGTATGTGGGGGGGGGGAGGAACTCATGCCTTTCATAAAATAGCTAAGAAGCTAATATTGCTATAGTGGAATTAACTCCGTTTCACTGACCATTCTGAAAAAAGAAATTTCCCCCTCAAATGACTTTTTACATACCCCCACTGCCCAAATACTCAATTGTCCCTTTTTGAGCCCCAAGAAACAAAAAACAAAAAGCCCCCTGCCCCAGCCCTCACTTTTCTAGAGGATCTTAAAGAGAGAAAATGTTTCTTGATATTCTAAAGAGATTTTTTTTTACCACAGCTTTCTTGAGGAGATGCTGACAGATAATTCCAGCAATGAGAACATGATTACATAGCTTGCCTGTTCCATGAGCCCAGCGTCACACATTAATAAGACTTACCATATTCTGAAAAGCAAAAAAGAGGACGTATTTCCCAACTGTTTACTTCAAACAAGTGATCACTATGAGAAATCTCACTTGAAATACTCCTACAATTAAGCTGTGGTAATTGCTACTAACTAGGAATATCCCTAACCCTCCAACCCAGAAAGAAGACATTCTCCTCAGGTTTTTAAAAAGAGCCCAAACGAGGATGAACATAAAAAGAGGACATCTGGTAACCCTATAAGACTGCAGTTACCACAGGCAGAGTTTGAACATCATGTGCTTGCCCCCATCCCCCATTGTTCTCTGTACCTGAGGGAGTTTGTAGATGCCTAACATTGTCGCCATCTGGGAAAAGGCATGAAAGTCCCCTCCTTGAATAACTGCCAATGGATTGTCCTGCCTTCCACACCTGAAGTTAGGAACCATCCAGTGCCCTGTAGAGAGCAGGTCTATCGTGGCCTCATAAGTCATCCTTGAGCTGAAACAGTTTTCATATATGCTGTAGCCCAGAGATATATTAGGTAAGAGCTGGGGATTGGCATTGATCTCATCGATGGCAAGCAACAAGGCCAGGACATGCTGGTAGTTCTTTTCCACAATCCTGCAGGGAACATAATAGCACACATCAACCAGAATCAAAATACTAAGATGAGGCCTGCTTCATCAGTGAAAAACAAATCAACTATTCGGAGGGTAGACAAAATTTTGTGCTTATGTTTTTAAAGACCTGGTCAGATGAGGTTAAAGGTCCATTTAGAGAAGCATTCTGTTTCCAGAAGAAGATGAAGACAAAGATGATGATGATGATGATGATGATGATGATGATGATGATGATGAAGAAGAAGAAGAAGAAGAAGAAGAAGAAGAAGAAGAAGAAGAAGAAGAAGAAGAAGAAGAAGAAGAAGAAGAAGAAGAAGAAGAAGAAGAAGAAGAAGAAGATGATGATGATTTGGTTTTATACTCCACTCTTCACTACCCAAAGGAGTCTCAGAGTAGCTTACAATTGGCTTTCCCTTCCTCTCCCCACACCAGGCAACCTGTGAGGTAGGTGGGGTTGAGAGAGTTCTGGCACAAGATCACCCAGCTAGCTTCATGTGGAGGACTGGGGGGTGAAACCACCACTCATAACCATTACACCAAGCTGGCTCTCGTGTGGAATGTGGAAGGAGGTGGAAGCTCAGTAGAGATGACAGAGCATCCTTACAGAATCTCTAATATTTCACAGCTGAATGTAAGGACACAGCATTTACCAAGGAGCCTAGACTACTTCTGCATCACATTGGTGGCAAAACACAAGAGACCGCTGGTTGAAATCACTTAAAGTGAACTATATATATATATATAATTAATGCCATGTTCACTGTCAGTAACTGGATGGCGCCTAAGTATTCTTACAAGAAACAACCCAAATGCAGAAAAATATAACCACAAAGGTACAGAAAAGTTAAGTCCCAAAAATGTCAATGTGTCTCACTCCTGTTGTATTATAATTTCATAGTCAAACTTGACATGCATTCATCATGGAGTGGACTCATATAGTTCCAGGAGGATCCAAATAGCCTAGAAATCCATAAACCTGGGTGGCCCAAAGCCAAACAGCCATTTCCCATGGCAGAATGGGGCTATGAACGGAGGTCTCCCAGATTCTGGTTTGACATTCTAACTGCGACATTCAGGGCTCTAGAAAGAAGCTAATAAGCCCATGAAGTTGACAGGTAAGAGGTAAAGGAAAGAGAAAAGGAAATTCTCTCTTACAGCAAGTAATTAAATTGTGGAATCCACTGCTAGTGGAGGTCGTAAAGGCCACAGATAGCTTGAAGGGGGAGGTAGATGTATTCATGGAGAGGAGAGGTTCCTCAATGGCTACTAGCCATGGTGAGTAAAGGGAAGCTCCATATCCAGAGGAAGGAAACCTCTGAAAACCTGTGCTAGGAGGCAACATTGTAGCAAAGTATCAGCCTCTAGTCTCATCCAGCATAGCTGTTCTTATGCTCTGTGCCACAGCTTATGTCATTTGTAACTTTCTGGGTGAATCCTCTTGTTTTCCTCATCACACTGCAAAGCCCCCTTCGGAGCTAAAGGGAAATGGGAAAGAGAGCAGCAGAAATGTTCTCGGTCTTCTGTGGGGTTAATCAATCTATAGACTTTACTAGCAACCAGAAGCAGCTGGGAACAAATCAAGCAAGACTTACGGAAAGAAGTTTTTGATGGGGTCAAAATCGAATGTATGTGATGGGTACACAAGTGTTCTCGTAGGTACAACCCCAGTAATGAGGTAATCTCCTGGTCTGTAATAATTATTTGGATACCTTCGTAGACCTGAAAGATCCATTTCTTGTTTCACTGGGACCCAACAAGACAAGTGAAGCAGTAGAAGCAGCAGCAGCATTTTGGGCACGGGCAAGCAGTAGATTCATTCCTTCTATTAGTCCTGTATCCAATCAAGAGCATTGGCAGAAGAAGCTGCCTGGACAGAGGTCAAAACTCCCTTCCAAGCCTCATACTGTGTCTGACTTTAGAGATGAAGACCTCATAGCTAGCTTTGGCGTGAACAGAGATAGCATCTAGCATCAGACTGACACAGACCAGCTATGCCTTTTCTAAATGCCAGCCCTAACTCTGAGGAGAAGAAAAGTTTATATAGGCATCTTTCGAAACTGAGGACAAGGAATAATCAGTTGCTACAATGGATTTCAGTGTTTTTCTTACCAATCTCTGAAGAAGACCTCTGGAAAACCCACCAGGCTTTGGCTGGAGCAACAATCAACACAATGATTTGGATAATTACAGGTGAAATAATCATGTCCCCAAAGCCCGAGACTCTCTTTGTGGCCGCGTATGCAGGTGCACAGAAGGAGAAAACATGTTTTCAAAAGTTCACCAAAGTCATGTCATACTTTGCTATGGGACAGTTAATGTTAAACTGGTGCTTAGTGGGGGAAAGTTCTCAGAAAGTGCCCTGTAAGTTTTTGATGGGGTCAAAATTGAATGTTCTTACTTCTTACAAAATTGAAAGTTCTCACTTAGTGCCCTGTAAGCCGCCCTGAGCCTTCGGGGTAGGGCGGGGTATAAATTTAAATATAAATAAAATAAATAAATAAATAGAAATGCAGAGAACAGTTTCAATATGAGTCTATTTATTTGTATCCAGTCTTTCTTCCTTCACTGAGACTGGTAGGTATGCCAGCTTTTAAATCAATCTCTCTAGTTGACCCTTTAATATCAGTTTGACCTACAAGCAATTATCATGTCATTTTATTCAACTGACATCATTGAAAAGTTTCTTCAAAACATTTCTGTGCTACTTTTGTATCCGGGTCTTCAAAGTGGCAAACTTCAGAACGTTAAAACATTTCAACATTAATTTTTTTTAATAAAGTGTAAATACAGGGGGGGAAGGGTTGGAGGTGGGGTGGCTCTTTATGTCAGAGAGGGTATAAAGTCCAGAAAGATTGAGAGGCTAAGAGAATTGGATTCGCTTCTGGAAATTCTATGGGTTGAAATAGTGGACCCAAAAGGAAATTTAACACTGGGAGTTTGTTATCGCCCACCAGATCAAAAGATAGAGGAGGATTATAAAATGATGAATGAATTAAAGATAGCAGCTAAACAAAAAACTGTGTCATAATAGGTGATTTTAACTACCCACACATTGATTGGGTCAATATGTGTTCTAGTCAAGAAAAAGATATTGAGTTTCTAGACACTCTAAATGATTGTGCTAAGGAGCAGATGGTCACGGAACCTACCAGGGGAGAGGTGATCCTTGATTTGGTAATGCTCAAGACCTGGTGAGAGATGTAAAAGTGATTGCACCGCTTGGGAACAGTGATCATAATGTTATTGAATTCAACATTTGTCTAAATAGGGAATTGGCCAAAAAGTTTATATAGAGCAGGTAGAGAAAGAGGTACTTTTCTCCCTTTCTCACAATACAAGAACTCGTGGGCACTCAATGAAATTGCTGAGCAGTCGGGTTAGAAAGGATAAAAGGAAGTACTTCTTCACCCAAAGAGTGATTAACACATGGAATTCACTAACACAGGAAGTGGTGGCGGCTACAAGCATGGACGGCTTCAAAAGGGAATTAGATAAGCATATGGAGCAGAGGTCCATCAGTGGTTATTAGCCACAAGGTATAGATAGGGACTGGGGCACGTGATGCTCTGTCATCTTGGTGCTTGGGGGGGGGGGGTCAACAGTGAAAGGGCTTCTAATGTCCTGGCCCCACTGATGGACCTCCTGATGGCACTGGTATTTCTGGCCACTGTGTGACAGAGTGTGGGACTGGATGGGCCTTTGGCGTCTCTTATGTTCTTATGTTCTTATATGCAATAATTCAGTGAAAACATATAAACACACATTACAGCAAAACCGGGGAGGAAGGGCAACTACGCTCAGTTGTGGGTATGCTAAACAAAACAAAACAAAAGTCTCCACCCTCTGGCAGATCATGACAACAATAACGGGAGATAGATGAATCTCCTTCGGGAGGGAGTTCCAAAATTTTGGTGCCATGACTAAGAAGGCCCTTTCTCAAGATGGCACAAGTCTAGGTTCAGACAGCAGGGGCACCCAAAGGAGGGCCTCCAAAAGTGATTGGAGTGGAAGGTGAGGTTCATATGGGAGGAGGGACAAGACTTACCCCCCCCCATCCTGTTGGCAACCTTAGTCTCAAAACAGCATACACAAGGTTCAGGAAATGTGCCCCCATTCACGCCTTCCAACCAAACCCCTCTGCTTTGTTTGCCATGCTCTGCTTCATTTGCCATGGTTGTAGGGGGAAGGGAAATTCCTGAGGGGAGGGAGTGAATGCTGAGTGTGTGAACCACTATCGTAGAGGCTGTAACTTTCTTAAAGATGTTCAGAGGAACGACCTTGAAGCCTTTGGTGCCAGCTTGCTATTGTAGATATGGGGGGGGGTCATATATTCCCAGATGGTGGTGGTGGTGAATGCAACGGCTAGGTGGGATGGCTGAGAAGTATGATTGGTTTCTTAGGAGGGGCTTTGTTTGAATTACCTATATCTGTGTTACCGCCAAAATCCTTAGTTCTTTCATTTTAAAAAAAATTATTTTCATTATTTTCAGACAAAACATGACAAACCAACATACAAACAAATATGAGATTAATACTAGTAACACTATATTCTTGGATGGACCCCAAGAAAATTCAGGATGTGGTGGGGTGGGGTGGGGTGGGACCCCACACACACAGAGAGACTTGGCACCAACTACAATCCTTCCTGGGGTTCACCAATTTATATCACCCATTCATCCCTAATTTCACCCAGGTCCCCCTTCCCCTCACCAATCTCCTGAAAATGAAGAGGAAGGGACCAGAATGCTGGAAGGCGAGCAGCCACCTGCCCTGGTCTCCCAAGTGCCAGAAAGCTTTTGGACACTTAAAGACATTGTTCACTTCAGAACCCATTTTGCACCACCCCCAATGAGACTAAGCAATTTGTGATACAGGTAGCTGCTTTGGATGTGGCCATGGGGGTGCAATCCTACAGACAGGAGAGGAGGGGAACCTGCACCCATTGGTTTACATGTCCAAAAACATCTCAAGCACTGAGCAGAACTGGGCACTGTGGGATAAGGAAGCCGCCGCCATCAACTTCGCCTTAACCACTTGGTTAGAGGGGGCGTGGGTCAGTTTCGAGGTTTGGACTTATCACAAAAATTTGGAAGTCCTCAAAGCTCTGTGGTGCCTGAATACTAAACAGTTGCAGTGGGCAGAGTTTTTCTCTAAGTTTTGTTTCACCCTTAAGCACCTCTTGGGGAAGTCAAACTTCCTGTCCGATGTGCTATCCCACCTCCTGCAACACGCTAGCCAATGAGAGGAAGTAGTGGATACCATGTTCACAACCACCCAGTTAGGAGGAGCAGTAAATGACATGCAGCCAGGTGAAAGGGGTGGTGCCAGCAGAGGTGGACTCTTGGACTGAGAAATTCAACTCCGCCCTCTCTGATAATGACAAAGCAGACATCAAGAGGGAGGGGACTCTCACTCAGAAAGAGAATGAGTGTTGGTGCCTGCGAAACAAACTGTTCCAGAATACTTGAGGGGGAAGATCATGTTGATGGGGCATGATAATAAACTAGCTGTGCATTATGGGTATTTAAAGACACTAAATTTGATCCAGAGACAGTTCTGGTGGCCCCGAATGTGAGGGGACATCTCTAAATACATGTCCTCCTGTCAAACATGTTTAAAGGTAAAGGTAAAGGTTCCCTTGCTCGAAAGCCAGTCGAATCCGACTCTAGGGTTGCGGTGCTCATCTCCGTTTCAAAGCCGAAGAGCCAGCGCTGTCCGAAGACGTTTCCATGGTCATGTGGCCGGCATGACTAAACACCAAGGCGCACGGAACGCTGTTACCTTCCCACTGAAGTGGTACCTATTTATCTACTTGCAATTTCTTGCTTTCGAACTGCTAGGTTGGCAGGAGCTGGAACTAGAGACAGGAGCTCACCCTGTCTTGCGGCACCCGGGTCTTGGGATTGTTACAACCATTAGAGACACCGGAGAGGCCAAGGTCCATCATATCCATGGACTTTATCACAGACTTACCCCCTAGCCATGGAAAGACTGTTATCTTGGTGGTAGTCTATTTGTTTTCAAAACAAGCACACTCCATTCCTTGTAAGCAGGTGCCGACCACCAAGAAATTAGCCCAATTCTTTATGCAACACATCATCAGACTCCATGCTTTGCCCCAATTCGGGAAACCCCCAGGAACCAGGGGGGATCTGGCAACCCTACTCACATGGATACATTATAGAACGAAGTTTGAGCCCAGTGATGCCTTTGAGACCAACAAAGTTTAATTCTGGGTATCAGCTTTCATGTGCAGGCACACTTCTTCAGATATCTGAAAAAGCATGCAAAAGCTTAGACCCAGAATTAAACTCTGTTGGTCTTAAAGGGGCCACTTTGCTCAAACGTTGTTCTGTTGCTTCAGACCAGCTTGACTACCCACCTGAATTGTTACATTATGTAAGGAAAAAAATGGAAGTATATCATTCCAGATTACTTTATTAACATATAATCAGAATTTATAACAGGTATCAAAAACACAGAGAGGAAATATCACAATAGTGGCCCAGAACTATAGCTATGGCAATCATGTATTACTACAGGGAAACTACGAAGAGAATATTACAATATAAAAAAGAGATCCAGGAGCGCTTGCATCTCCCCCCCCCATCACCGTACTGCCAGTTTGTTTTCCTACCTCCCCCTGCCCATTCAATCCCTTCTCTCCTCCTAGGTGGAAGAAGGGGGGGTGGTCAAAGGGAGGCAAGGCAGAAGGGCTTCTCTAGTTTCCCCTTGTAGTCTACTCCTGGTGGCTTCCACCACCACATTTTCATGAGCCGTTTAGGGCTTTTAGGACAACTCAAAATGCCATCCTAATTCTGTGATTTGTTTATTTATTTTTACTACATCTGTTCATGAGTAGATATTACTTGACTTTTATAAGTCTTTGTGCCTCAAAATGTTGGTGGTGGTGGTGTTTTTTTTAAAAAAACACCCTAAGATTTCTCTCTAAGCCTGGGGATTTCCCTATGTGCAGACATAACTTTTGACTTTTATAAGTCTTGGTGCCTCCCCCCCACACACACCATTTTTTTAAGCCACAGTATTTTCCTACAAGTTGGGAGATTCCCTTAAAACCCTTGAAAGCCACATGTAGCTCTTTGATGTGATACCTGTGGCTCTTCTGAGACCTGTTACCACAGTGGCACAAAGGCTGTATTTCAGGAAAGCGGGCAAGACCCTTTCCCAATGTGAATGGTTGCTGGTGGTTGGTTCCCACCTTAAGATTGCTGTTGCCAGAGGAACAGAAAAGCTTTAAGCCACCCTGAGATGAAGGCCTCATGCCGGTGATAAAAGTAGACCTGGGCTCGGATCATACACAGAAGTTGCCGTGGGATACTCACGGATACCGGGCGGATTTAACGGGTGCGATCACACCAGCACCTGTTGGCAAGCCATCGCATCCCGCTGAAGATCCGTAGTTCAAAGCTACTGCAGAAACACCAGTATTATCTGCTTGCGACGGGCCACAGATGGGCGTCTTCTGTCTGATCACTCCAGCGCTACATGAAGAGCTCCGAAAACGTGCGCCAACAATATGCTACCCCCGATTCCTTGCTGTCGCATCTGATCACATTCGGCTGGGTCACAAGTGTGGCGGAGCAAAAAGGACCATGACCGGGACCATGGCTGTCTTAGTTGATGGTATTTCTTAGGGTTGCCACCCCCCAACTGGGGCCTGAAGATCTCCCACCATCACAGTTGATCTCTGGACTATAGAGATCAGTTCCCCTGAAGAAAATGGCTGCTTTGGAAGGTGGATACTATGGCATTATACCCTGCTGAGGTCCCTCGCCTCCCTAAACCCTGTTCCACCCCCAAATCTCCAGGTATTTCCCTATCGAGAGCTGGCAATCCTAGTATTTCTGAATGTGGCTCTCTGCAACCCACAGAGTGAATACCACAATTCCGTCATACCTGTGACTGCCCCTATTTTGCAGATTCAGCTTTCAGCACAGGGGGCCAGGCCTTGACCGAAAGGGATTTTTAGAAACTTAAAATCTCTTCTTCTTCATTAGACATTCTTTTGTATTCATTCCAGGCCTCAGTATTATGACATAGCATTTAGGGAGAAAAATGCAACCCAGTAAACCAGCGCTGGAGGCCAAGATAGAAAAGATCTGCACAGCTACCATGTTTTTCCCCTTGGAGCTCAGATAAGTAGGAACGAAGGAGACCCAAACGCTGCAAAATACCAGCATGCTGAAAGTGATGAACTTGGCCTCATTGAATGCCCCAGGCAGCTTTCTGGCTAGGAAGGCTACAGTGAAAGAAATGGCAGCCAGGAAACCCATGTAGCCAAGGGCACCATAAAATATGGCAACAGACCCTTCGCTGCATTGCCAAATGATCTGTCCATCCTGGGAATGCATGTCCAGTTCTGGGAAGGGAGGAGAAATTCCCATCGAAAGGATGCTGACACCAAATTGAATAATGGAACAGAAAAGGACAATGACATTTGCCATACTCTTCCCCAGCTGTTTCCTAGTTTTGTTCCCTGGCTTTGTGGCCCTGAAGGCCAGCACCACAGTGAGCGTTTTGGCTAGCACAGAAGACACGGCCACTGAAAAGATGGTGCTGAAGACAGTTTGGCGGAGAAGGCAGGTCACCTTCCTGGGCTGGCCAATGAATAGGAAGGACGACAGAAAGGAAAGCAGGAGGGAGACGAGAAGGATGTAGGAGAGGTCTCGGTTGTTGGCTTTGACTATGGGAGTGTTGGTGTATTTAATGAAGATGCCTAAAACAAAACCTGTGCTTAGAGCTAGTAACAGGGCAAAGATAGCCAAGGTGATCCCCAGAGGTTCTCTGTAGGACAGGAAGACCGTAACCTTCGGGAGACATCGATCTCGCTCCTTGTTTGCATACTGATCTTCAGGACATTCATCACAGTGATTTGCATCTGGGGAAAAAATGCATTTCTTAAGAACATAAGTAGAGCCCTGCTGGATCCGACCAGTGGTCCATCTAGTTCAGCATCCTGTTTACCACAGTGGCCCTGGAGGGACAAACAAACAGGCCAGAGAGGACAAGGCCTTCCCTTGCTGCTGCCTCCCAGCATTAGTATTCAGAGGCCTGCTGCCTCTACAAGATGGAAGCTCCCTTCACTCACAAAAGGAAGTAACCACAGATGGACTACTTTCAGTATCAGAATCTCCAAGTTTATCAGTTATCCATCAGAAGCTCCAAGTATTATACTTCTTACAGATAAATTCACTATCTGAATATTTGTTTTCATGTGTTTATTGCAGGGATCATTTGGGACCGGAGTGTGCCGGAGCACTGCTCCGGCAGCCCCAGTGGTGCCAAGCCCCGCCCCCAGCTCCCCGCCTCCAAGCTCCTTCAGTCTAGAGTGACGCCACAGCAGCAGCACGATCTCTCCATTGTATTATATGGCCCAATAGAATACAATGGAAAGATCGCGGCGCCACTGCAGCACGAATCCAGAGAGAAGGGGTTTAAACTTTAAACCCCTTCTCTCTTCACTTCCCCCCCCCAGTCTGCCTTGGCAGGCCGGCAGGAGAAGCAAAGGGGGGGGATCTTCAAAAACCTCCCCTTTCCCCGTCGCCCTGCAAAGGCGGGCTGGGAGGGGGGAAGCGAAGAGAGAAGTTGTTTAAACTTTAAACCCCTTCTCTCTGGAGTTGCCATTCTATTCTATGGCCCCCTAGAATAGAATGGAGAGAGAAGGGGTTTAAACTTTAAACCCTTTCTCTCTTCACTTCCCCCCCAGCCCGCCTTGGCAGGCTGGCTAGGGAAGCAAAAGGGGGGGGTCTTCAGAAGCCTCCCCTTCCCCAGCCGGCCTGCCAATGCGGGCAGGGGGGGCGAAGAGAGAAGGGGTTTAAAGTGCTGGTGAAGGGAAGGGGAGGCTTTTGAAGATGCCTCCCCCCCCTTTGCTTCCCCTTCTGACACCACTTCCGGTGATGTCAGGGGGTGTGGCATATGCTAATGAGCTGTTATGCTAATAGCTAATTAGGTATGCTAATGAGCTCCTGCAGCTCTTTTTCTATTAAATGACCCCTGCTTTATTGTAAAGGGGTTATAGCTCACTTTCCCTATATCTCAGGCTAACAAAGATTCATTGAGAAATACAGAGTTCAATGGAGGAATATTTGCCTTAACAATTCAAAGTCAGTTCCAAACAGCCCAAGAAAATATCTAATTGTTCCAATCTTTTCAGAAGCCTGCTTTAAAAAAAACAAAAACTTTGCCACCTAAATCTTTAGAAACTGGTTGAACAAGGAAGAATTTATAACTTCTTTGTGTTAAGTCTGAGAGTTTGACCAATGAGTTCTGAGGGAGACATAACATTCTGTTAGCTGTTCATTTTGAAGGTAAGTTTCTTACTTGTTTTACCTACCAGTCCTTTTTTTTACCATGGTCCTGATCCAAAGCAGGGCACCACACATATGAAAATGTGGTTTTTACCCAAAATTCCCAGTAACCCATCTGATTTGACCCTAAATTAAAGAGACAACTGGTGCCCTCTAGAGGCTGAATATGAGTCATACACAATGCCATGAAAGTTCTCAAGCCAGTTTATTTACTTCATTGTAGCCTTCCTTTCTGGAAGATATACAAGGCAGTTTGCTTGTCTTACAACTTCTGGGTTGTAAAGACAAGTGGCATTGATTTTTCTTTTTAGCAGGCTTACTTATTACTCATCACTGTATGTATATTATGACATTTCCTAAGCATCGTGTTACAACAAATCTTGAAGGGTAGTCACAATTCAGAAACTAACCAAATCCAAGACATGAAGAGCGCAGCAGAAAGCATGAGGAAATAATTAGTCTTTTGATTGCTGTTAAGCCAAAAAAAAAAAAAAGGCTTAGATATAGGATACAGCCATAGCACTTTTTAGATATTCTAATGTTCATGGGGGGGGGGGGGCAGGATTGCACCAGCAATGTACACATAGGGCCTGTGCATGTACGACTCCCTCCATGTGACTGGGAACACTCCTCTTTCATTGAAGGCTGATGTTCAGATAGTTTTTGTAAATCACTTAAGGTCGGAGATCTCTCTGGTTCTGTCTGCCTTTCCTACTACAGCATAAGAAGCATAGCAGGAATTAGCATGTTAAAGCACAACCATATCACTATGAACAGGGCATCGTGTATACTGTTGGGAAATGGCATGTATAACAGACTTATTTACTTTGTTTATTCCTGACATCTTTCCCCAGTGGGGACCCAAAGTGGCTTACATCATTCTCTTCTCCATTTTACCTTCTCGACAACCTTGTGGGGTATGTTAGATTGAGAGCTGGAGTGTGCAATGAAAAAATATTGGCTATTATTTGGATTCAGGGTTTAGAAGCCCAAATATATTTGATATACCCAAATATTCCTGAATACAAATATTGGTATTGTATTGGTATTTGGGAAATACTCGGGAATCCCAAATATATTTGGCTCCTTTATACCCTATGGGGCCATTATAGTCAATGGCAAATCTTTTAGGGTATATTCAGTGGCCTGGGGGTAGGGGTTTGAGGTAGAGGTACTGAATTTGCAGTGTGCCTGCCGGAGCCTCTCTCCAAAAGAACCCCCATGTTTCAACAAGACTGTACCAGGGGGTCCAATTCTATTATTACCAGCAACAAGGGCTGTAGAAGCCCAGCAGAACACTCAAAAGTGCAGGGAATTTCTACTCTGCTACAGAGTAGAAGCTAAGATTTGGTATTCAGCTGAATAAATACCGAAATAATACTGATAAGGCATTATTTGGGTATTTATTCAGCTCGGTATATAACGAATGCACACCCCCAGCTGAGAGTCCGTGACTGGTCCAAGGACACCCAGCTAGCTCCCATGGCAGTGCAGGGATTTTAACCACATCATAATCTGACACTTGAACCACTACACTGAACAGTGCTTCAAAACCTAAGTATAAAGCTTCAAGGTCAAGTGACTCAGCCAACCACAGGATTGGTAATTGCCATTCATGGCTAAGACTGGAAGTGCAGCAGTGGCCTTCTGTGGGGACTTAGAGGATCCAACTACAACCTGAGTTTGCTTGGAGCTGTTCTCTGAAGCATTTCCTTAAAATGTGTTCACAGTTGAAGATAACATTAAATGTCATTCGGGGGGGGGGGGATCTGCACCTTGACTTTCTGGACCCTGTAAACTTGACCACACTTCAGCAACATTTATTGTCCAGACTTTCTACAAATGCTTTCAGGGTGGAAAAACTGTACCGATGCCCATGGTTTCTTCCAGGCCACTGACCTGCCTGCACGGCCACGGTCCCTTCCATGCACAGAGCACAATCATAGCAGCAAACAAGCCGTCCCTCTGGCACCACCTTGCTTCTTCCAGGCTTGCAACTTTCAGAGCATGTTGAGCGGGGCCTTGTCTGGGGGACAGAATCATAACACAAGAATGTAGGAAGAGCCCTGCTGGGTCAGACCAGTGGTCCCCATTTGGCACATGTGTCTATATACATAAATTTAGATATACCAGAGGACAGCCCTCAAAGATTATTCACAGTGAAAGGAAATCCCATTCTCTCCTCTGCTTGCCCTTCTCAGAGGGACTGTGGATCAATGTGTGGGGACATGGGTGGCACTGTCACTGAACAGCATGACATTGCCAGGCTGAACCGGGAAGTTGTGTCACGCCTCTCTAGGATTCAGTAAAAACTCTATGAGAAAACAATAGAGTTTCTGCTGAATCCTTGAGTGGCATGATGTCACTTCCAGGTTTGCCCCAAAAATATCATCATGCCATTGAACAACAATGAAAGATGCCTAAAACAATGATGTTTTTCAGCATTTCCCCCCCAGCAGCTTAACAATCAGAGGCAGGGTTTGGGGAGTTGCTGGCAACAGGCCTACTGCTACAGCAGGTGACCTGGCAACCCTGTCCCCTCACTTTGCTAGCTCTCCTTCCCCCCTCCTCCTCTAGACTGCGTCTCCCAGCTCTTCCCCCCCCCCCCACCAACAGTCACAGTTTTGGGTTTCCCTCCCTCCTCTCTATATTCCTGCTTCATTCCCACTCGCACTTGCTTCCTTCAATTATTAGGCATTCTTTCGGGTTACTACAGTAGCCACATGAAGTTATTGTTATTATGACTGTTTTTGTTTTTTAAACCTCTCATCTTTTTTTTCTTTACAAATATTTCCGATACTTATACCTTAGTCCCTGTATACCCCTACCCTCGTCAATTTTTTGATCAACACAGGGAGGGGCCATCTTTGGTCTTAAATATCTGAGATATATATCCCGCTCGCAGCCTGCCAGTTGGAATCATCTTCGCACGCCAGATCAAACATTTCTCTTTACCTAGGCTTTTTAATGAAGGGGTTCTTCCTCAGTGTTTTATGATCTACTCCTAGCCTGAGGCCTAGTCTGTTACAATCACTTTTTATTGCTCTATTTGTTTTATGAGAATTTATTCCTCTTTTAATTGGCTTAGGGTTAGGGTTAGCATGTTTTTATTGGGATAGTTGCGTAATGTAGCAGAGTTTGCCCAGTCATAGCAGCATGACACTGAGTGCAGTAAATAAATCTCCCAAGGAGGATATTGCAAAAAAGGTAAACTTGCATTTATTCAAGTAGATCCAGTTAACATTCAGATTGCAGTCAAAACAAGAGAAAAGAAGCCTAAACATTGCAGGAAAGTGGAATTTGAAAAATGTGGGGGAAGGGGTGCAACATTTAGATCTACTCCTGGGGAGGCAAAATTTTGTGGGAAGACTTTTGTATAGTCCGATTCTTTAAAAACGCCGATGCAGGGGTTTGCCTTTCTGCAGAAATGGTCTAAGGGTGCATTCAGATGGACAGCTAACCCCACCATTATGCCGGCTCAAATTTGATCCCAATCTTTTTAATCCATCCTCGCACAACCAGACATCCCCGGGGGAATCACCTTACTGCACGCTGCTTCCGCTGTGGATTGTCTAGATGGTGTCCACTGAAGGAGGCACGCGCATTGGGCTTTTAAAAAAATCTTTTTGTGCATGTGCATGATATTGTGGCCTTGTTTATCCGCACATGCGCAGAATCAACATCCCAAACAGGCACCATTTTTAATTGCACGCTGAAACGATCAGATGGAGGAAAGTCTGTGAGTGGCCTGTCAGAACCGAAAACTCCAGATTTAAAGTAGTATCTTTTTAGTATGGCTCCAAGGCACGGCAAAACGGGATGCTCATGGAAGACGGACGTTTCCCACATGTTGATGTCTGGACATTACATTTAAATCCATGAGGCAATCACAAATGGCCAGCATGTTCGGCGTCTTGTGCGTGGGAGTATGAGGGCATTGTATCTACAGGAGAGTCATGTAACTCCGTGGAAGGCCATGTTAGAAGAAAGTGAGAGGACAAAGAGAGAGGAGGGGTCAGAGGGCAGCTCCCAGGTTAAGACAAAGAGAGGCATCCCATTCAAGGAGATGACACCTCTGCACGCTTACAGAGTGATGTAGCACACCCCCCCCAATGCCCAGGCATGCGGAGTCACTCACAACAATGGTTTGTATCTATTTATTTTACTGGGTTGTCTGTTTTACTGACTTATTTTATCATGTGAGGTGTAACTGAATTGTTTTACTGCCCTGATACATTTGGTATCTGTGTCTGTGACATTTCTATGGAAAGCTCAAAGATAAGTTCAGTGAACAGTGACAGATAATGACGCTTAGCACTGACACTGTCTTCAAAGCACTCCTCATACATTATCCCATTAACAGCCTATTAAAACCCCTAGTGTTATTTCCCCATGTACCAATGAGGCGTTCAGGCTGGGAAACAGTAGCTCCACTAAGGTCACCTCTTGAATTAATTGCTGATTTGCATTGGGGATTTCCTGGCTCGCAGGTGACTTTTTTCAGCCCCTATAGTTCATATAGCTCGTAAAATACGAATTGATTTCCCACCTGGTTAAACCAGCTGGGCCATACGCAGGCCTCCTCACGAAGGGTCAGCTCTAAGCCAGAAGAAGCTTGGGTCTCCAGCCTCCCCACTTTCATTCTCCTGGCCGTCTGGTTGGAGGATGTGACCAGGTTCACAATGTCGTAGTTAGCTACCAGTTCCCTGTCCTCGTCGAAATGCACCTCGTCCATCGTTGTACTGTTGAAACGGATGCCTCTTAGAAAAGGATGAAGCTATCAAAGAGACAAAAGGCCCCAATATTGTCAACATGGGCAAATAACCAGAATGTGTCACTCCTGTCCTTCCAAGCTCCCATTCAGTTTCTCTGACAGACTCTGATGTAGTCCTTGGTCTGGATCCCACAGGTCTATTATGCAAGTGCTGGGATATTTCGCCCACACAGAGTGCCTTCTTTTGATGGAAGAGGGGGAAGTCTCCTTTGGCCAGTGGAAAGTGGGATCCAACCCCTCAGTCCTATAAGCTAGTGATGATGAAGCACAACAGATGGGTTGTCTTGTAGTAAAAACATGCAGGAAAATCAACACCTCATGCACAATTCCAAAGCGCAGTATGATATACCAGAAAAACAGATTTGCTGGGGCCTCCCTTTTGAGCCTGTGGGCATCTTTGGAATTTCAAGAGGGGACGGTGAATGCCACCTCAAAATGGTGGTGGTTAGAAATGGAACCAAGTTCAAAATGGCTGTCACAGGAGTTGAAGCCAAACAGAATAACTCCCTCTTCATACTACCTGGGAAGAAGAAAAACCTGGAGGAGTGGAACCAGACACTGACTAAGGAAAGCCTAGTGCTTACCAGTCTCCTCATCCTCCAATGGAAACACTTTCATTTGAATGAAGACAGCCAATAACAAGCCTTGCCTTACAATGGCCCCACCAATGTTCTCAAAATCTCTACAGGTGTCAAGGGAAGTAATGCTGGTACAGTGGTATTCCCAGATGCCATGTTGGTGAACCCTGGTGTAGTGTGTTCACTGACCATCAAAACACTACTTGATGGAATAACCCAAGGTACCAAAATAGGTCACTTTATAAAGTGGGTATATTTACCGAATGGAGAACTAGAACATGAGATAAAACAATAGAACTCTTCCATGGATTTGAGTGTTTTTTAGACGTTAATTTGAGTGTTGTTTTTTAAAAAGAAGCACTTCATTATTTAATTGCTTTGTTTTTATAAGATTACCCTTTTGTAGACTTGGCACTGCTGAGACAGGTGCCAGTTGTAGAAACAAGCTTTGTGATTTTTGTTTGTTTATGTGTTTTGACATTGTCAGCTGATTTGGTTTTAGACCCACTGAGCTGCTTTTCACAGCCAGACCCACATAAAGTACAAGAATCCAAACCAAGTTTTAAATCATCCTGACTGAGAGCCTAACTCAAAGGAATTAGTGCCTGAAATGAAGTAATCACTGCTTGTTTCAGCTGCAGTTTCCATGGATTCTTACCTGCCATGACTCTATATGCTGCAGGTCCAGTCTCTCTCCTTTGACCTTCACCTTGCGTTTAGATGTGGACGTGACCATAGCATGGAAGGCATGTGCCACAACATAGACAGAGTTGTAAACCGTGTAGCTCTCAGCAGATATGTCTTCAGCCCAAGCTGTGGGGAGGCCATCCGACCTTTCCTTCTGCTTGCATCTCCTCCAGGTCTTCCTTGACCAAATAAGGCTGGGAGTGAAGCAATCAAATATGCCTGACCAAAAATGCTCCATTAGAGTGTTATCTTGAATCAAAAAAAGATCCTGGGATACAGACTTCTTGTTGGCTTGGACTGTAAAGGACAAAGCTCCGTGGAACCATTTGATATCCCAATAGGCAAAAGACATGCTTAAAGTGAAGCCCCACAGAGCTGTTGTGACCCAAACTTTCCCTAGGGCAATGCCCATTTGTTCTTCCATTTGCATTAGCAAGAGTGGCAGCAAAAGCATCGAATCGGCATCCCCATAATAAATTAGCACATTGGCTTTCCTTTGTGTAACATGTGCAAAGAGGAGGAGCAAGTGTTCTTCAAACAGCTCAGAAACATAGTCCAAATGTGGTTTTGGAATCCTCTCAGTGAAGGCTATGCAAATATCACTCTCAGAGAAGAGCACCTTCATGGTTCTCACAAATCTATCACCTCCATCATCGTAGGGAGAAATGAGGCCGACCCAAATCCAACTGAAATGGAGGAGCAGCTTGACTATCCCCGTATATTGTGGGGCTTCGTTGGGGCTCATCCAGTAGGAAGAAGGGAATAGGATTTTATCATTTAGAATATGGTTGACAAAACCATACGTGAGCTAGTTAAAAAGAGGAACTGACGTTTAGTGTTGGAAATAATGTTCAGGCATTGAAACTGTAATATTTTTTTAAAAAATTGTTTATTTATACCCTGCCTTTCTGTGCAGTGTGAACCCATAGTAGCTTTCCTCAGTCTCCTCTCCCCCATTTTATCCTCACAATAGCAACCCTGTGAGAGGAGAGGGGCCGTGGCTGAGTGATAGAACATCTGCTCTGCAGGCAGAAGATCCCAGGTTCAATCCCTGGCATTGCCAGCTGAAAGGAGCAGGTTATGTGAAAGACCTCCACCTGAGATCCTGGAGGGCCACTCCCAGTCTGAGCAGACAATACTGACTTTGATGGATCAAGGCTCTCACTCAGTATAAGACACGTGAGTTAGGTTAGGCTGAGTGTGTGACTGGCCCAAATTCACCCAGCAAGCAACTGTGGCAGAGTAGGGATTCGAACCTGTGTCCAGATCCCAATCCAGCACTCTAACTACAGGAAAAAGAAGAAGAAGAAGAGCTGATTTTTATACCCCGGCCTTCACTACTTGAAGGAGTCTCAGAGCGGCTTATAATCGCCTTCCCTTCCTATCCCCAAAACAGGCACCCTGTGAGGTAGATGGAGCTGAGATAGCTCTGAGGGAACTGTGACTGGCCTAAGGTCACCCAGCAGGCTTCATGTGGAGAAGGAGTGGGCCAGGGGGAGCATGGAAACAGCATGGGATGAAGCATGAGAAATGGGTTGTGCTCCTCAGACAACCTTCTACTTGTATTTCACCCTCTTAGGATTGTCTGTACAGCATCGGCTAGGTCACAGGTGTTCTCTGCGATAGGTCATCGTCTGGAATGTCCTACCACCTTCCCTCACCTGCACTTAGGAGGGCATGCAAGACATTTCCAGAAAACAACTGGAGAGGGGTGAACTGTCTCAGTGGATTTAGCAGTATGCTTTTTTTTTTTTTTAATCTGCACATTATTTTTGCCTGCTAACAGGCTTCAGTGGTTTGTATTCTGCACAACTTGTTATTGCCTTGTTAGCCAGCTTGAGTCCACGGAAATAAGGTGGGAAATAAATGGGACATCCATCAGGTTACCAGCATCCAGGTGGTTGTGATAAAATTGACAATAACATTTAATAATCCCTATGAACATCAATTTGTATATCAATTAAAACTATTAAATAAACAAATGGGACATCCATAAGGTTGCCAGCCTCCAGGCCCCAGGCAACAGGGACCAGCTCCCCTGAAGAACATGGCCACTTTGGAAGGTGGACTCTATGGAATTATACCCCATTTAAGTCCCTCCCCTCCCCAAACCCCACCCTCCCCAGGCTCTGCCCCCAAAATCTCCAGGTACTTCTCAACCCGGAGTTGGTAACCCTATCCTAGACATTGCAAGGACACGTTTGGATAAAACCCATTGCCTTTCTGGTTTCCTCTAAGGAAAAACATGGCATGGAACTCTACAGGAGTGGCTTTTCAAGTGGCATAGGGAGCTGGTGGGGAGAGAAGCCAATAAAAATAGCCTCTGCCTACTTACTCCATTTGCAGGAGCACTGCAGCCAGCACATTACATATAACCAAGTTAGCACATAAAATAGTACTCTTTTGTATATATTTACAAAGTCTGAACCTTTCCATTCTATTTTTTTTTTAATTGATCAATGGAATAATTTATATCCAATATTTGGAAGGCAGGCTACTACACTCAAAGGTATCTTCTCTCTGCCCACTGGTGGTAGGAGAAAATAAAATAAAAGTTGAAATTAGCAACTAACAAGTCTGTGATAAATAAAAATGACGAGGTAACATCAATGATTTATGTGGGGGGGGGGGGAAGGAACTCATGCCTTTAGTAAAATAGCTAAGAAGCTAATACTGCTATAGTGGAATTAACTCAGTTTCACTGATGTGTTGAGGATGGGCAAGTGGGCATCAACATGGCAAATGGGGTTCATTATGGCCAAGGGATGCACATTGGAGGCAAAAATCCTAACTATAAATACACATTGATGGGGTCCAAACTGGCAGAGACTGACCAAGGGAGAGATCTTGGCGTTGTAGTATGTAACTCACTGAAAATGTCAAAAAGGCCAATGCTGTGTTTGGGATTATTAGGAAGGGATTTGAAAACAAATCAGCCGGTATCATAATGCCCCTGTATAAAACAATGGTACGACCTCATTTGGAATACTGTGTACAGTTCTGGTCACCACACCTCAAAAAGGATATTATAGCACTGGAAAAAGTGCAGAAATTCTCAATTGTCCCTTTTCGAGCCCCAAGAAACAAAAAACCAAAAAGCTCCATGCCCCAACCCTCATTTTTCTAGAGGAACTTAAAGAAGGAAAATGTGTGCTGATATTCTAAAGAGATTTTTTTTCCCACAGCTTTCTTGAGGAGATGCTGACAGATAATTCCAGAAAACAGCTTCCCTGTTCCATGAGCCCAGCATAAGACATTAATAAGATTTAGGGTTACCATACTTTCAAAAGGAAAAAAGAGGACATATTTCCCAACAGATTACTTCAAACAAGAGATCACTATGACAAATCTCATTTGAAATACCCCTACTATATAAACTGTGGTAATTGCTACCAATTAGGAATATTGCTAACCAATGCTCCCTCTAAGCTCTGGAGTCTTGTGAGCAATAATTCTTCTTTGTGAGCTACTGGCATTAAAGTTGTGAGCAAGTGATTTGGCCACTGCATAAATTAGTTTACTCTGGAGCCATCCTTCCTGAACTAAGACAAAAATGTGTGAGCTGGAAGCTCAAAAACTGTGAGCTAGCTTACACTAACTCAGCTTAGAGAGAATACTGTTACTAACCTTTCGAACCATAAAGAGGACATTCTCATCAGGTTTTTAAAAAGAGCCCAAACGAGGATGGACATAAAAATAAAGAGCACATGTCCTCTAAAAAGAGGATATCAGTGGTAACCCCATAAGACTGCAGTATAAGAACATCATGTGCTTGCCCCCATTCCGCATTATTCTCTGTACCTGAGGGAGTTTGTAGATGCCTAACATGGTCACCATCTGGGAAAAGGCCTCAAAGTCCCCTCCTTGAATAACTGCCAATAGATTTTCCTGCCTTCCACACCTGAAGTTAGGAACCATCCAGTGCCCTGTAGAGAGCAGGTCTATCATGGCCTCATAAGTCATCCTTGAGCTGAAACAGTTTTCATAGATGCTGTAGCCCAGAGTTATATTGGGCAAGAGCTGGGGATTGGCATTGATCTCATCGATGGCAAGCAAGAAGGCCAGGACATGCTGGTAGTTCTTTTCCACAAGCCTGCAGGGGAACATAATGGCAAACATCAACCAGAATCAAAATACTAAGATGAGGCCTGCTTCATTCGTGAAAAACGGGTCAAATATTTGGAGGGAAGACAAAATTTTGTGCTTCTGTTTTTAAAGACCTGACCAGATGAAGCTAAAGGTCCATTTAGAGCAGCATTCTGTTTCCAAAATCACTGGAAGATTTCACAAAGCATAGCATGAAGGCAACAACGTCCCTGTTTTCTGGAGTTGCCAACACTGGGCTGGGAAATTCGTCGAGATTTGGGGAGGGGGTGTGCCAGAAGAAGAGGAGGAGGAGAAGGAGGCTTTAATCATCCCACTCTTCACTACCCGAAGGAGTCTCAGAGCGGCTTACAATCGCCTTCCTTTCTCCACAACAGACACTCTGTGAGGTAGGTGGGGTTGAGAGAGTTCTGGTGCAAGATCACCCAGCGGGCTTCATGTGGATGAGCGGGGAATCAAACCCAGTTCTCCAGATTAGAGTCCGCCATTAACCATTACACCAAGCTGGCTGTCACGTGGAGTGTGGAAAGAGGTGGAAGCTCAGTAGAGATGACAGAGCAACCTTAGCCAATCTCTCATATTTCACAGATGAGTGTATGGACGCAACATTTCCCAAGGAGCCTAGACTACTTCTGCATCACATCGGTGGCAGGCATACCACTAGCTGAGAACCACTGTGATGGAGAAGTATTTTAAGGCGTGATGTGGTCTGCTGACTCGAACTGAACAACAACATTTTAGAACCAGAACAAAATGATACTGTAAACATTTACAGATTTTATACTAATGCTAATTACAAATGCCAGTTAGTTAACTGAGAGCCAGTGTAGCTAGCCTACATGGACCGTCCATGCCAGGGCAAAATAATGTAGCACCAGCTAATTTAAAAGTTCGGTTTCTCGGGACTCTTGTGCTACTAAATTCGCAACAGGCTTCCTGTCTGGAGAAGGCTGTGGATATAGCAGGACGCAAGCGGGAGAAATTTTACCTCTGACTGCTTCACTGTTAGGAGCCAAAAAGCTCTCATTCCTTGCCTTGCTAATGAATGATACTGTAATGAAACTGAAAAAGTGACACCACTGATATCATAGCATTACTGATTTTACAAAATATTTGACAATGTTTTTAAAGGAATATTTGACAATAGTTGGCTGTGGCCAGCTAATAGCTGTTCAATGATCAATCAACAATATTTGGCCAGTCAATCAACCAGAGTGCCAACTCTACATACCTACACACATACATGTATACAGACTTCATTTGTCCCCTTCCTCCCTCCCCAATAGGGATCAAAGCAACTTATAGCTTTTTCCTCAGTGGCCCAAAGCCAAACAGCCATTTTCCATGGCAGAATGGGGCTACGACCCGAGGTCTCCCGGATTTTGGTCTGGCATTCTAACTGCTACATTAATTATAGAATCCACTGCTAATGGAGGTAGTGAAGGCCACAGATAGTTTGAAGGGGGGGGTAGACATATTCATGGAGAGAAGAGGCTCATCAATGGCTACTAGCCATGGCGAGTAAAGGGAAGCTTCATATCCAGAGGCAGGAAACCTCTGGAAACCAGTGCTAGGAGGAAACATCAGAGCAAAGTACTGGCCTCTAGTCTCATCCAGCATTGCTGATTTTATGCTCTGTACCGGAGCTTGTGTCTATTGTAACTCTGGGTGAATCGTCTTGTTTTCCTCGTCACACTGCAAAGCACCCTTTGGAATGAAAGGACTAGAGACCAACAGAGGTTAACCAAAATATAGACTTTACTAGCAGCCAGAAGCGGCTGAGAACAAATCAGCCAGCAAGCAAGACTTACGGAAAGAAGTTTTTGATGGGGTCAGAACGGAATGTATGTGATGGGTACAAAGCTGTTCTCGTAGGTACAACTCCGGTAATAAGGTAATCTCCTGGTCTGTAATAATTACTTGGATATCTTTGTAGACCTAAGAGATCCATTTTTTGTTTCACTGGGACCCAACAAGACACGTGAAGCAGTAGAAGCAGCAGCAGCAGCATTTTGGACACAGGCAAGCAGTAGATTCATTCCTTCTATTAGTTCCGTATCCAGTCAAGAGCATTAGCAGAAAAAGCTGCCTGGACAGAGGTCAAAATTCATTTGCAAGCCCCATACTGTGTCTGACTTTAGAGATGAAGACCCCATGGCTGGCTTCAGCGTGAACAGAGATAGTATCTATCATCCGGCTGACACAGACCAGCTATGCCTTTTCTAAATGCCAGCCCTAACTTTGAGCAGAAGAAAAGTTTATATAGGCCTCTTTCTAAACTGAGTGCAAGGAATGATCAGCTGCTACAATGGATTTCAGTGTTTTTCTTACTGATCTCTGAAGAAGACCTCTGGAAAACCCACCAGGCTTCTGCTGGAGCAACAATCTACACAATGATTTGGATAATTACAGGTGAAATAATCACGTCCCCAAAGCCTGTGACTCTCTTTGTGGACACATACGCAGGTGCATAGCAGGAGAAAACATGTTTTCAAAAGTTCACCAAAGCCATGTCATACTTTGCTAGGGGACAGGTGCTCTTCGACTGGTGCTTAGCGGGGAAAAGTTCTCAGAAGTGCAGAGAACAGTTTCCATGTGAGTCTACATATTTGTATCCGGTCTTTCTTCCTTCACTTAGACTGGTAGGGTTGCCAGCTTTTAAATCAATACCTCTAGCTGACCTTTTAATATCAGTTTGACTTACAAGCAATTATCATGTGATGTTATTCAACTTGATGCGATGAAAAGTTCCATCTCCACCCATTAAACTTCTATTATTATTTCTTCAAAACATTTCTGTGCTACTTTTCTATCCCAATCGGGTCCTCAAGGTGGCAAACTTCAGAACGTTAAAACATTTCAACATTAATTTTTTTAAAATAAAGTGTACGTGCAATAATTCAATAAAAGCACATTATAGCAAAACTGGGGAGGAAGGGCAACAAGTGTCAGTTGAGGGTACACCAAAGCAAAAACAAAAAAAAGTCTCCACCCACTGACAGATCATGACAACAATAACGGGAGACAGATGAATCTCCTTGGGGAGGGAGTTCTAAAATTTTGGTGCCACGACTGAGAAGGCCCTTTCCCCAGATGGCACCAGTCTAGGTTCAGATGGCTGGGTCACTCAAAGCAGGGCCTCCGAAAAGTGATTGGAGTGGAAGGGGAGGTTCATATGGGAGGAAGGACAGGATTCCCCTTCGCCTCTAGTTGGCAACCTTAGCCTCAAGGCAGCATACACAGAGCTCACTGCAGCTTCAGGAGGACCTCTGTATCATACGCCTTCCAATCAAACCCGGTGTAACAGGCCGGATTAATCCCCCAGCCAGAGTAACCCCGGGGTTACTCTGGCCTAGCCTAGAATAACCCCGGAGGGGTTATTCTGGCCTAGGCTAGAGTAACCCCAGGTTAATCTGGCCGGCTGTAACAGGCCAGATTCAACCCCCCCCCCCCGGCCAGAGTAACCCCGGGGTTACTCTGGCCT